GAGGGGCCTGGGAGTCAGGGACAGAGTTCCTGAATCCCCAAGGTGCACAGGGAGTGGGATTTGGGATTCCCCAGGTGTCAAGTTTGAAGGTGGGAATGGTAGGGACCCACCCTGGCGGGCTGCCCCAGTGGTCAGCACTGGTGCCCTGGTGGATTTGGCCTGCTTGGGTGGCCGAGGGTTCTTCTTTCGGGACCCACTGTTGGTCTGGGGGTTTCCCGCCCTGTGGGGGGCTGGAGAGAAAGGCAGACAGGGTTCATGTGCTCAGCCTTCCATCTGCCTGGAGACTCAGCCAGGGACAAGGAGGGCTCCCCCCACCCTGCCCAAACTGGGAAGAGACCACCACAGTGGTTACAGAACTTGGGTCCTGGTGCTTACCAGGAGTGGCAGGGGTTGGCTCAGAGCCCTGGACGACCTCCCGGGACAGGCCCTGCCACTGGTCCTCCTCCACGTGGGGAGATGGCTCCTCCCTGGAATTCGCTGCCACCCGCTGGCCTGCAGAGAGAGCAGTCACTCTGAGGTCAGGAACAGCCGAGAGCTGGGGACTGGGATACCCTGTACCTGGTCCTAGTGCTTAGGGGGGAGGGGGCTCTCAAGGGAGGCAGCAGCTTTTCAGAGACTTAGAGATTGGAGGTCTAGACGCCTGGACCCTCAGAGTTCCCGGAGTGGAGCACTCGGGTCACTGGGTCATCTCTGAAGGAAGAAGGGCTAGCCCCTCCCCCCAAACAAGGGACCAGGGACCCCTCACCTGCACAAACCATCCAGACTCAGGGACCCCTTATCTGCACACACCACCACTGGTCCGGGGACCCCTCACCTGCACACACCACCCTGATCTAGGGACCCCTCACCTGCACACACCAAGCCCGGTCCAGGGACCCCAAACTGAACACACCTGTATGCACACCCCCCCTTGGTCCAGGCATCCCCCACCTGCACCCCCCCCAATCCAGGCACCCCTCACCTGCACACACACCCCAATCTAGGGACCCCTCACCTGCACACACCACGCCTGCATCCTCCTCGTGAGAGCAGATGTGGGCTTTCCAGCCACGGTGGGGGCACAGGCCCAGTTGTCCCTCACTGCCCCGGCAGGCCAGCTCGCTGAGCCACACCGGCCCGGTGCCTTCCCCAAAGAAGGCGCCTCCAGGGGAGGCCAGCGCCCCCCCGCAGCCCAGCTCCCTGCAGGCCACCGCGGCGTCTCGCAGGTCCCAGCCGTCATCGCACACTGTCCCCCAGCGCCCTGCGTGCCACACCTCCAGCCGGCCGGCACAGCCATGGGGGCCATCAGCCAGACGCAGCCGCTCTGGAGATGGAGGGGGAGTTCTGACCTTTGGGAGGGGCACCTGGAAGCCCTGGGGCAGGATGAGGGCAGCGGAACAACTGAAAGGTCAGCTGGCCACTGGGGCCCCAGATACCTGGACACTGAGGTAAGGGCATTGGTTACCAGGAGGTAGACCAGATCACATGGGAGGATGGGGTGGAGGTGGGGGGAAGTCTCAGGGGCAGGGCGGGTTTGGAGTTCGTCAAAGCTGATGGGGAGTGTATGGACTTACCAATAGCCTGGCTCCCCAACAGAGCAGCTGCAAGGAGGGGTGGTGGGTGGGGCAGAGTCAGGGGAGTCCTTTCTGAATGTGGGAACACCCACCCACCCACACACACACACACACA